TTATAAAACCGTTATTGAAAATAAAAAGTTCAAAAAAAAAAAAAAAGATATTGTTCATCATTTATGTAAATACAAATTATAAAGTATTTAAAAATTCTATAAATAAAACGTGCAGAAAACGACAGCTCTGCCTAAAGCAGCCGAGAACAGAGTCGACTGTAGTGACTTCCTTCTTACGGTTTCCTCTCTGTGCCGGTGTTTGTCTCAGCTGAGGATTAAAGGCGCTAAAAGGCCAGCGGTGAGAAAAGCACAGGGGGAACCTCACCAAGACCAACTGAATGTGTGTGTGTGTGTGTGTGTGTGCACGTGTGTGTGCACAGTTTCTCAGCTGGGTGGTATTGCCAAGTGTGAGTATGTCCCCTTGATATCTTTCGGTCCAATGGTCCATTTCACAGACTAGCTGGATGATGTCATGAACCCCGATTTCTTTGCTTTAATCTGAGCACTGCAAGGTTTTCAACAACAACAAAACAAAAAAACAGCACGGCAGACAATCCACTGGAAGAACCGTGCACCTTTCACAACATTTTAACTCCAATTTTTAAAAGTGACTAAAAACATGCGGATCTGCTACATTTCCTGACAAGAATGAAACAGAGATATAATAAATATATTTGACATACTGAGTGAAGTCTCTTGCACAATATCTTACATGACTTTATTACAACTGTAGAAAATCTATTTCAACAAGTCTTTCAGTTGTTGCATTAAATTTTAAAGGGCTTTAGTTGATCTCAAGCGCTTCTAATGGATCACAGATCACTCTGCCCTTCATTGAGAAACTCCCCCCTCCTGTATGGAAACATCGTCTGCATGGACAGAGGATGTTCCAGGAGAGAGACTAAAGCACGACACTAGACAAAGTAAACAACACGACAACAGTTATCGAGCTTGAAGATAATAAAGTTATAGGAAAAAAAAGCTGTACTGAATCGATCATCAGGAGCTCGTTTTTAATTTGGCTGCTTTTTATTTTAGCTGAAAGATCGGGACAAACAAGGACAAGTCTAAAAAACTCATGAAAATAATCGTCATCAAAATTATTCTGCTTTCCTCAAAGCTGCATTTTGCCACACATCGTTTCAAATAGAAGAAGAGAAGTTCAACATGGTCTGTGAGAAAACTCAAACCAATTGTCTTATCTTCATTTTAAAAGAGACAGACTAAACTGTACACATCGAGGTGGCTGCCCAAGATTGGTACGAAGGGGGAGTGAGTGGAGATGAAAACTAAAAGGCCTGTGGCAGACGGACATTTTTTTAATTTACAAATGTATGTGTAAATGTATGTGTAACTGTATGTGTAACTGTATGTGTAACTATGTGTAAATGTATGTGTAACTGTATGTGTAACTGTATGTGTAAATGTATGTGTAA